TTAGTTTTTTCACAATATCTAATAGCTAATAATTTTGAAACAACTTTTTTGAGGTACAATCGATACACAATAAAGTGTACATATTTAAAGTGTACAGTTAGGTCAGTTTTGATATAAGAGCACATCTGTGAAGCTATCACTACAGTTAAGGTAATCAATGTTTCCATCTTCCCCCAAAGTTTCTTTATGCCCTTTTACAAATCCATCCCTCCTTCCATTTCTCTCTAGAGGCAACCATTGATTGACTATCCGTCACTATAGCTTACCTTTTGTAGAATTTCGTATAAATTGAATCATATAGTAGGTACGTTTTTGATGATGTCTTTCATCAAAATAGCTAATAACTTTATGAGTGACATAAAAGTGTCTCATAAGAAAAAAGGGCATTTAAAGTCAAAGTTGAGAGCAACACAAGGATCTTTCAATCTGACGTTAAATGTTTTAGTAGTGATTTCTTTCCAGGATCACTTGCATTCACATTTCTACTACTCCATGAGGAGGAAGGCNTGCAGCATTTTATCTGACCTCTTGGCTAAAGGAACAGTGCAAGCTACCAGCTACTGCCAGGGCAGGGAAGAACTCACTATGTAGGATGGTGTCCACAATAGAGGACATAATCTAAGTGCATACTACTTACTGCAAACCTGGAGCTTGGGCTTTGCCATGTAGAAGTTGGGCTCCTCCAAGGATGAAAGCAGGACCAAAACCAACCAGTGCAAACAGAAACAACAATCGTATAATAGCTACTGAAGTCATCCATCAGAAGAGGGGGAAAAGAGCCATTGCGAGTTGAGTGACTGTCCCCCTATCACGTAGTGTCTATGCACTAAAACACAGCCCCGAGTTAGCAGAGTGAGTTGGAGACACTGAAAATGTCCTACCTTCCGAAACACAAATGATTCTTCATTGTAAACTGGATTGAGTCCATTATTCATAACCATGCGAGTTCGGAATTCCTTACGTATGGTGTCAGTTGGCAGTCCGTACATATCCACTTCTACATACGTGCCAATTTTCTTATCTGATAAAAATTGACCTGATATGACCTGCAGCAACACAGAAACAGGGCGAGAGAGAAGTGTAATCATCAGAATAATCAGGAAGTAAGAAATTCTGTTTATTGGGGGAATTTCAATTATCTGGGGAAATAATGTATTTATTTCCTTTTAAACCAAAA